AAAACTCATCAATGGCTCCCTGTTCATCTCAAGATAAAGTCTGAACACCTTAGGGAGTTTTAGAAGGCCCTAGAGAATCTAGCCCAGATCCCTTGTTTTATTTTTTTACATTTTCTGCTCACTCCCCATATGGGTCTTTGGTGATCATACAAAGGTCTTCTTTTTTAATTATTTATTTATTTATTTATTCATGACAGAGGCAGAGACATAGGCAGAGGGAGCAGCAGGCTCCCTGCAGGGAGCCCGATGCAGGACTCGATCCCAGGACTCCAGGATCACAACCTGAGCTGAGGGCAGACACTCAACTACTGAGCCACCCAGGTGCCTCCAAAAGTCTTCTTAATGCCACAAATATTCCAATGTCCCCTTATCCTTTGGACTCGCTGCTAGGAGCCCACCTCCCTCCCCCTGCACCTGATGTATAGTCATCACTCAGACCTCAGATCTGACGGCCCATCCTTGACTGCACACACACATACACACACACACAGAGCCTTCCAGGTGTGTTGTCTGTCCCCTCTTCAGTCTTCTTAGAGCCTCCTCTCTTCCCCTGTCACAAAGCCCTGAACTGTGATGTGATTCAGGCTGTTGACCCCATCCCGTCCCCACCTCTGTAAGGACTGACTGGTAACAATGTCCAGCACGTGTTTCAGCTCTTCTTCAAGTGAAGGACACAAGAAGGGGCATCGGAAGCCAGGGCTCTGGTCCCAGAGTTGACTGTAACTACTGTGCTCTGCGGACAAGCCAGCTCCCTGCAAACTTCCCTGTGGGCCCAGGAGACAGAAAGCCTTCCTGGCATCTCCACTGCCTCATGGGTTCTTAGGTGCCCCCACTGCTGGGACTCCATCATGTCCCTCCAAGGCCAGGCTCTGGTGTGAAGAGTAGTCTTTTTTTCCCTCTGTTTTAACAGCTTTATTGAGATATAATTCGTATACCTAATACTTTCATCCCTTTTTAAAATTCAATGGATTTTGGTATATTCACAGGTAATATATCCTACAGTCCATTTTAGAACATTTTCACCATCTTTACAAGAAACCCTGTATCCTTTAGCTAAAACCCCAAACCCTCCTGCCTCTCCCTCCCACCCCACTTTCTCTCCATCATTTGTTTTGACTTGTACCTTGCAGGTGAGGGAAATCCTGACCTGGAGAAGAAATGCACTTCTTCATGTGAATCTCAGCATCTTTTTCCACCCAAAGAGAGGAAGTGACTAAAAAGTCATCCATCATAATAGACCCAAGAAGCTGCTCAGATGAGAAGACAGAGAAGCAGTTGCCACATCTCTGTGCGGACCGTCCAGCCAAGCAGACAAGCCCTGCTTTGGGGAGGGGACCGGGAGAAGATGGGGCCCGATAATCCCTACCCCCCCACTCTCCTGCTATTCAAACCATCAGGGCCCCCGAAAGCAAGCAAGGCCTTCCTTACTTCTCATACAAAACTCAAGCAAGACTTTAGCTTTTCTTCCTTAAAACTCTGTGTCCTTTGCACAGCACAAAATGTCATGTGAAGGAAAAATCTTGAGTACTTAAAAATGGTTCTCCACTGGTTGAGGGAGGAGCAGAGCGTGGCTGGAGGGAAGAGGCGGCCATCCAGCAAGCCGAATGAGAGCAGGGGAGGCCAGGCTGCCAAGGAGCTGTGGGGTCAGCTCCTGTGTCCTGGAGGGAGCCCTCCCCGCTGCCCAGCCCTCTCCTTCTCCCCTGTGTACCCCTCACCTCCCACCCACCCCTTCTTTTTCCATCACCAGAGGGCCCAGCAGTACAGGGACTGGCCCCAGGCAGCATAAGCCTTGGAACAGCACAAACAAATCTGAAAGCCCCTCTCACCTCTTCCCCAGGGGACCTCAGCATCTTGCAAGTCACACCAACTTCTGTTGGCACACGTGTGTGCTCATGGGTTAATACAAAGATACCGTCCACCTGTCAAGATCACTGAATCTCTGCTGCGCCCAATTTTATAAGTATGAATTGTTTCTGTTGGATAAGAAATAACTCTTCCTGTACAGGACAGAGATCACCAACCCCGTCACAGCTCAGTGGTACCCAGGGGCTCCCAGGAATGGAGCTTCGATGTCTGGGCCACGATGTTATATGTTCCCATGTTTTCATGACAACGTGGTATAAGAAGCATGGACATTTCTGGCCTTTCCTGGGTCTACCCTGCTTTCCATATGGAACCCGACAGGATGGCGTCCCTGAGAACATGGTGTGAACCCAGCATGCCCATGACCCTCACGGACCTGACACACCACGTGCCCGTGCAGGTTGACTTACAAACATCAGCATCCAGATCTCAGTAAGGGACGGTATAGGGTCTTGAGTGGATGGTGGGGTTATCCAAAGCAGTCCGAAAGGAAATGAGGGTCAGGAGCATGAGGCTTGAGGGGAATGAGGAGAACTGGAAAGACGTGGGAGGGGTCCTAGGCGGGAGGTGTGTGGTGTGTGATCCTGGGGAGAGGCAGAATTTATGGTGATTTCCTGCCAGAAGCCCGACTCCAGCCATAGATGGTTCACATGCTAGATATCAAAGAGTTCTCAGTAACAAACGTACTTCCTGCCGAGGCTCAGAGAGGCCTCCTCTGCCAGCAAGGGAGCTTTGGAACTCAAATGGTGTGGGGCAAGGAAAGAAACAGAGTGGGTGTTTGTGTAAAGTTTACTCACAGGGTGGCAGGGCCCTCGTCGCCTTGATGCATCCAGCACCCCCGTGGAGAAGGCTCCAGTCTTCCCGCCCCCCCCCCCCGCCTCCCCAGGAATGGAGGGCACACTTGGTCACAGGCTGGCGGCATTGATTCTACGGGAATCTGTGAAATGTTAGTTTGACATAGGGGGTATTTCTCCCCCTTTTTTGTCTTTTCCCACTCTTTTTCAGAAACAGGACCTAGGCCTCCACGCCTCTGTTACACATATTGGTTCTGACAGCTCAAATTAATATGTCAGATGCTATGATCCTCGCTGGCGACAGGCCTTTTGACCCTATCAGCGCAATCTGCCTCCCTGATTGAAAATCTCTGTGCCTCAAATTGATTCAGAGTTTTATAAACATCCTGCAGCCACGATCCAAGGAAGCCACCGATGAAAAACCTGAGAGAGCTTAATTTGCCCCCCTCCCACCCAGCCCCTCAAACCAGCAGGGTGGGACAAGCAACAAGGTTAAAAGGAAGGCCTTAGACCAGGCAACCTTGTAGGATAAGAATTCCAGGGATCCCCCCCAACCAAACTACCCCACCCTTGCCCTGTCTGCATTGGAAAATACAGTTGGAATGATCCAGTAAGAGGGAACTTGATTTGTTCTAAGAAGGACTGGGTTGTCTGGCTCTGCTCTCACTAGCTGTGTGACCTTGGAAAACGTCCTAAACTTCTCTGAGCTTTGGTTTTCTCTTTCTAAAATGAATAATAACCAGTCTGCTGTAAGGATGTATAATAACAGGACTACTGTAAGGATGGGGTGAGATGATGCTTTCTAAAGCACTGAAGAAAAGCAGGGAATCGTGACTAGTTTTTATAATACCCTGGGGAGAAGGAGGAAACGAAACTGGTAAAACGTTGGTAATTGCAGATGCTGGAAGATAAATACTACAGAGGGATTCACTCTGCTTTTCTCTCTAATCTTGTGTATGTTTGAAAATTTCCAAACTCAATTCTTTTAAACAATATACACGGAGTCATAAAGTATATACGTTTTAGAAGTGTGTGTGTGTGTGTGTGTGTGTGTGTGTGTGCATGTGTGCACACACAGACAAGAAATCATTCCCCTGCGAACCCTTCCCTTCTCACACATTTAGGAATCTTAAGAACTGTCCATCAGAGTGGATGTCAACTAAAAATGGTGATGAGATGAATTTAGATCTACATAGACAGAAGAAGATGCTTGTGGTACATGTTGATTTAAAAAAAAATAGGCTGTAAAACATACGGGGAAACGGACGGTTCCCTATAAAGGATCCCAGTGGGCAGGCACAGAGTTCCTGGCACAGGATTCCCCGTCTGTGATGATGCTTCCATGCAGAGCCCACCTGACTCCCTCTGGGTCTCCAGCAGTCACTAAGCGCTCCCGATGATCATCTGTCTGCTTCCCGCCTGCTCCTGCACAGCACCTGAGCCCTCAGAGCCTGGGCACTGGAGTATGTGGTGGTGACCCTGGTACCTGTCACATCACATGGCACATTGCTGACTATATCTGCAAATCCACTCCTCATAACCACCCAGACACTCTGCTGGTATCTCCCACAGCTTCCAGCACCTTCTATCCTGTTCCTGGGAGCAGTGAACACGCCCTCTCCCCCCCCCCACTCCCCGCCGAGGCATCAGTCCCGTTACAGGTGCTCACAAAGGGTGCTCAGAGGCCGGGGGGGTTTCAGGTCCCTGCTTTTGCCCAGTGGGCCCAGCCGGTTTCGACAGGCACTCACTCTGAGCAGCCCTGACCACCTTCAGCAGGAGCACCCCCTTTACTTGTCGGCCTCTCAGACTGGCTCTTACAGCAGCAACAGAATGCCCCCCACACACACAATGGCTGCTCCATTGTCAGTTGATACCACAAGGGAAGAAATGCAAAATTCTCTCCAACTTCTCCCCAGGCCCCCTTTGGGCGTCTTCCATCACCCCCAAAGCAAGGTGACTCTCCACCCACACCTCCTGTGGCTGTCCCGCCATTTCGTGCTTCAGAGGGAGACAGCGTAGGCAGAAGAGGAGAAGGGAAGTCCGTCACTAGGGACACCAAGCAAAGGCACACCCACTGCAGGGCCCCAACCTTCACCCCAGAACCCATCTTAAACCACGGGGATGTTCTCACCAACCTTAGCTCCTTGTGGTGGAGGCTGGTAGCCAAGAATGTCATGACTCAGCAGCCAGCGGACACCTCCCTCCCACTGGTCACCTCCCTGGGGCCCTGAGACATAATGAAGACAGGCACCTCCCTCACTTCCTGACCCTCTGCTTCCCAAGCTGTCACAGACCAAAATGCCTTCCAGCTGGTCTCCTTGTGCAGGCATGAAACAACTCACAGCAAGTTGTCTCCAAAGAGACGACGAATAGATTCAGCATTTGTGTCTTCAATTCCATCTGGCTGGAGTGCTCTCGTTCTCCAGCCCCGCCTACCTGGTCCCAGGTGTGTTCAGTCTAGGGAGACGCGGGACCTGGAGCTCAGATGCTGGCCTAGGGAGACGCGGGACCTGGAGCTCAGATGCTGGCTCCCCTCCTCACCAGCTGTGTGACCTGCAGCAAGTCACTTAATCTCTCTGTGCCTCGGTGTCCTCATCTATGAAACAGGAATAATGATAGTATTTACCTCCTAGGGATGTTCAGAGGATCCTACCAGTATCTGACACACAACATACGTTCTGCGTGTCAGCCCTCATCACCATCATCACCATTAACTCTTGGTTGGGAACCCTTGCTTCTGGCTTCCTGAAAGTGAATCATTTTTTTCTCTACTTCCTAATCAAGCTTCCCCATCTCTTCATTTACCAAGAAGTCGGTTCTCAAAGTCATTTCTCAAAACTAAAATATGACTTTTCTTTCTCAAGCCCTCTTCCTTCCCACAGGCCAGACTCACTCATTCATGGTGTTTTATGACTCCTGAACACTGGATTTTTCTCCTACAAAGGCAACAAGATAGCCTTTGTTCATCCATGAGTGTGTATTAATAATCACTGCCAGTTTACAAAGCTCTCTCACTTACACCAGGCCATTAATCCTCTGAGGGGGCCTGGAAATGAGAAGCGGTTGCCTTGGGGCCCTTTTTTTCCTGGTTTACAGCAGGGAAGTGGCAGGGCTACAGGTGGACTCCTGCCCTATGGACTCGAATTTCCGTGTTCTCCAAGCCCCACCTGCTCCACAGAGACACAGGGGTCCACAGGCCTGAGAACAAACGCTGGGCAGAAAGGAGTCATTTCCCAGGGGGCATTTAGGGGTGCTGCAAACTGCCTGTTGGAAAAGTCCTAACTAAAAATGATGCTGAGGATGAATCTGGATCAACGCGAAAAGAGGTCTGGGACATGTTGCTGTTGTACAAAATAGGTTCGAAAACATGATGCATGACAGGACCTCACTTTCAGGAAGAAGCAAACACACCAGGAAGCTGGAAGGAGATAGGCATTCAGCGTTGACAATGGTAGAAATGGCAGAAAGTAGGATCATTTACCAATTTTTCTACAAAATGTGTGACTGCATTTGTAATTTAGAAAAATTGAGACTCAGGGAAATGGACCGAGTTGCATGAATGCTTCATTGTCCACCTGAAATACCCTGGGGTTGAAGCTTTCTCCTCGCTGAGGAGAGATGGCCCCCCAAGAGGAGCCTCAGGCCTCCACAGGCTCTCCGCCGGTCCCGCGCAGCAACAACATCCCCCCGACCCCCCACCATTTCTAGGAAAGCCTTGGTTGCTCTTCCCCAGCAGAGTGACACCAGGGATGGATGGGCAGCAATATCCCCAGAGGGGAGAGAGACACATTACCTTCATCGCCACCACCAACTCAGACAAAGCACTACACATTTTCTCACGTAATCTGCCCCATAGCATGTGAAGTAAATTGGCATCATCCTCTCCACGCCACAGATGAGGAAACTGAGACCCAGGAATTTGCATAAGACCCCAGAACGGGAAGGACTGGGCATCCCCAGAGCCCAGGATTCCTGGCTCTAAGTCCACCTCATGCATACCAGGTCCCCCCCACACATTGGAGGGCCCAGGCTCTTGTGGCAGGGATTCGAGAAGCCATACTAGACCTCCTGTTACCCACAAACCATTCCCTTGGGGTCTGCCCGGAAGCTTCTCAGCCCCTACCTGACCTCAGAACTTCCTGCCTCGAGCCACTCCTGAGCCTGGGCCAAGTGACCGGGGAAGGGCCTGGGTATATTTGTTGGCTAGGGCTGCCATAACAACCACCGTAGACTGGGTGCTGATACAATGGGAGGGTATTGTCTCACCGGTCTGGAGGCTACAAGTCCAAGATCAAAATGCTGGCAAGGTTGTTTCTTCTGAGGCCTCTGTCCTTGGCTTCATCGTCTCCCCGTGTCTTCACATGGGGAGTCACATGTGAAGTCCTTCTGCATCACATGTGTGTCCTTCTGTGATGCAATTTCCACTTCTTTAAGGATACCAGTCATATTGGATTCAGCCCCTCCCCCTTAAAGACTCATTTTATTTTATTTTTTTAAAGATTTTATTTATTTGTTCATGAGAGACAGACAGAGAGAGAGAGAGAGGCAGAGACACAGGCAGAGGGAGAAGCAGGCTCCATGCAGGGAGCCTGACGTGGGACTTGATCCCAGGTCTCCAGGATCATGCCCTGGGCTGAAGGCGGCGCTAAACCACTGAGCCACCCAGGCTGCCCTAAAGACCCATTTTAATGACCTCATTCAAAACCCTAACTCCAAACAGTCATATTTTGAGGTACCAAGGGTTAGGATTTCAACCTATGAATTGGGTGGGGGACACAGTTCATCCCATAATAAACCCCCCTTACCTGGAAGGCTTCCCCAAACCTCTCCTGTTGGCACCACAGCAGGGATTGGATAACCACTTATGCTAGTAGCCCCTTGAGGGCTGAGAGGGATGAGGTCCCAAGAGGCATCAAGGATGAAAACTGGCCATGACAAGTCCCAGGATTTGGGGCAGGAGATGCAACACGAGGGAGCTGGGAAGATGGGTGCAAGGCAGGTCCCCACAGGATGGTGTGAAATGAGGAAGCAGAAAAGGGGCCTCTGATGGTCCATGAGGCCATGCAGAGAGTCATCCCAAGTGAGGCAGGTATATCATAAAACACTTTAGTTTATAAAAGATGATTATTAATAGGACAATTGCTTTCCTAGAAAGAAAAACTATTTCAAAGCTCGGGGACTCTGGGCATGTCCTTCCTTATCAGTAAGAGATGGAGAGTAGACCACATGGTTTCTAGCTTCCCTCCCAGCCTGAATGCTTTCAGATTCTAAGACAATGATTCTCCCTCATGATTTTACTGGAACTAATGACATTTTGCCTGGAACTGGCACCTAGTAGGTGCTCAAATGATTTCAGCTTCCTTCCTCCATCTACTCCCTTCCATCCCCATGGCTGTCTTCAGTGGTCAGTTCCTCATCCTGGATTAAACAACAGAAGACAGGGAAAGAGCAGGGGCTTTCGGGAAAGCCCCAACAGTCTGTACCAGAAAAGACAAACCTAAACAGAAAAGAGAATAATATCCACACACCCTGACCAGGTGGAGATGCCTGTCTGCTTCCAGAGAACCTGGGACAGACTCTTCCAAAGGCAGCAGGGTAGCCATAAGGGGTACCAGAAAGTAAATGTGTTCCCGGCCCCAAGGACCAGGCAAGCACTTCCCTTTGCTCCCCCAAGTCCAGGGTGAAGGCTCTGGACTCTCTGCAGAGCCTGACAAAGCTCCAGCCCTCAGCTCACGAGGGCTGGGGCAGAGAGAGGCAGGGCAGGATCAAAGGCCTAGCAGCTCACAAAGGTGATCCTGACAGAGTCGATCTCATGCCCATGCTCACCAGCCGATTAGTCTCCCCAGATGCGCATGTGGGCACCTCTCATACTTCTGCAGAAGCCTTCCCAGTGCCGAGGGGCATGGGGGGGGGACAGCTCACAACTCGCCCAGTGAGTCAGAGCTTCTGTCCCCGCACCTGGCTGAGCCCTCAACACACAACCTCATAGCTGGGGACCAAAGGGCTGGAGGAGGAGGTGGTGCCCAGTAGGACAAGGAGGAGAGGGGTCTCGGCTACCCCCTGCTGCCTGCACAAGCCGGGCGTGGGGCATGATGAGGAGGGAGGCAGACCCCCTAGGATCAAACCCAGATTCTCACTCCAGGTGAACGTGGTACATCTTTCTGAGAACTTGACGACAGGGCACTTTCATCTTCAAAGCATTTTTCTTACATCATCTAATTTGAGTCTCGCTATGATCCTGAGATACTCAAGGCAATTATCATTCCCATTTTACAGATTTGGAAATCAAGATAGGGGCCCTGTGCAGGACCACACAACTCACACAGAGCAGAGCTGGCACCAGAGCCCACGGCTTCTGGGGCCCAGAGTACCTTTCCCACTCCTTTAAGGGGCACTGCTCTGAACTCTCTGGCCCTGGGAAGTTAAAATTAATAGGCAGTCAAAAGCCTGTAATAAATGAGTGCCCCACGCATGTTCTCAGAGGCACCCTGGAACTATTTCAGGATCCCTATCCCACCCCATTCCTTTAGAAGCCAGGTAAGATATGACAGAAAAAGCAGTGGAGGGAAGGTCACCCGGACCCAGGCTCCAATGCCACCACTCACTAGCAGGTGACCTTGGACAAGTCAGTGACCCCCCTCTGAGCTTCGGTTTCCCTGGAGACTGTGTGAGAGGCAGTGTGATTCCGGGGCGTCGTAGTGTCAAACTAAAGGCTGCCCGCGCGAGCTGGGTGATGAGGACAGAGGCAGACCCCCAGGGATCAAACCCAGATTCTCACTCCAGGTGAACGTGGTATGTCTTTCTGAGAACTTGATGACACGGCGCTTTCATCTTCAAAGCATTTTTCAGAGTTTGGGTTTGAATCAGAGCTGTCACTTCTTAGATGTGCGACCTTGGGCAAATCACTTAACCTCTCTGAACTTTAGATTCTTCAAGTATATGATATGAACCACGGTCAGCACCTAGGCACACATGGCTGTGTCCAGAGCTTTATAGAAATAAGCTCACTTAATCCTCATCACAACTCTGGGGAGAGAATGTTTGCCCTGTCTTACAGATGAGGGGTGAAGAGCTTGCCCAGGGTCACACAGCCTGTAAGTGGCAGTTTGGAGAATTCAAACCCAACTCAGTAGGACTCCCAGACCCCTGCCCCGTGCCTTTACTGATACTGCAAGACTGTTCCATGCATTACAGACACAGAGCAGAACTTCGCTGAACGGTGGCTAGCTGTTGCCATGAGGAATGTTACAGTGTTTAACTCATAAACCACTTGGCTGGCTAGTTCCTGGAATGACCATCCAGGTGACTCCAGGTGAGGCAGATGGGTTGCTCCTGACTACATGCTGCTCCCCCTGGGCATACGAACTGTGCCTTGTGCCATCTCTGCACCTCCCACCATGGCTAGCACCTGTATCACCTTGCCCTCCTGGTTCTTGTCAACCACTGTCCTGCAGGCATTCACACCCTGTGCTCTATCCCATAGAGTCTTGGGCTCCAGTTCCAGTGTCTCTCCACCCAAAGTGCTGCCATCATCCACAGTGACTTCCATCTCTGCCTCAGATGACCCATCCCCCAACCTGCCCCTCAGTTCCTTGACTCCACTGCAGTGACCTTTACGCCTACTCTTTAGCCACTCCTTTCCAAGACAATATCCCTGAAGTCACAAATTCACAGCCCATCCTCCTGACCACTCTCACCCATCCTTCCCAAAGCCTCTGGATCATTGATCACCCCCCACCCCACCCCTCACTCCCAGCTCATCAGTCTGTAATCACAACCACTCTGCTTTCTCGTGTGAGCCGCTTCCATCTTCACTTTCTTCCCTTTCCAGGCCAGATCCAATGGCCACCGCTTCACCCTCTCTTGCCAACACGCTTCACTGGCTAATCCAACATGCTTAACTGGCACATCTTGGCTTTATCCAAGGTCCTTGCATACACACCTGTCCAAACCCTAAACCAGAGAACCCAAGTGCCCGGCCCCACCGGCACTGCATGGCTGCAGTGGAGTCACCAATACAGATAGAGGAAATCCTGCGGGGATATAGACTTGGCTTCCCATATTGCCCTTCAGACAAAATCAAAAACCTTACCGTGGCCTTCAAGGCCTTGCACAAGTTGATACCCACCTCTCCAGCCACATCTCATTAATCCATTCAACAGACAATTACTGAGCACCTACCTGTACCTACCGGCACTGTGCCCCTACTCTTGCAATCTATCTCCAGCCATGAGAACCCTCTTCCAATTCCTGAAATGTAGTCCTTCTCACCCTAGGCTCTCTCTGTTTATAGGATTCTTTCAGGATTCTCCTGACCAACATCCTCTAATTCCCTCTGAGGTCTCTGCTTAAATGCGGCCTCCTCTGAAGGCATATGGCAGCATATCCAGCCTACACTGGACTTGCCAGTGTGCACACACAGCACTGTCCATTCCTCATCACAGCACTTTTTTTCTTTTTCTTAAAGTTTTTATTTAAATTCAATTTAGTTAATATATAGTGTATTATTAAATCCAGGATTAGAATTTAGTGATTCATCAGTTATGTATAACACCCAGGGCTCATCACATCATATGCCCTCCCTCATGCCCATCACCCAGTGAACCCATTTCCCCACCCCCCAGAAATCTTCAGTTTGTTTCCTAGAGTTAAGAGTCTCATATGGTTTGACTCCCTCTCTGTTTCATCTTATTTTATTTTTCCTTCCCTTTCCCTATGTCCATCTGTTTTGTTTCTTAAATTCCACATATGTGTGAAATCATATGGTATTTATCTTTCTCTGACTGACTTATTTCACTTAACATAATACCCTGTAGTTCCATCCATGTCTTTGCAAATGGCAAGATCTCATTCTTTTTGATGACCGGGTAATATTCCATGGTGTGTGTGTGTGTGCATGCGTGCGTGTGTGTGTGTGTGTACACCACATCTTTATGCATTCCTCTGTTGATGGGCATCTATGTTCTTTCCATAGTTTGGCTATTTTGGACATTACTGCTATAAACACTGGGGTGCAGATGGCCCTTTGAATCACTGTGTTTGCGTCCTTTGGATAAATACCTAGCAGTGCAATCGCTGGATCATAGGGTAGCTCTATTTTTCACTTTTTAAGGAGCCTCCATACTGTCTTCCAGAGTGGCTGCTCCAATTTGCATTCTCACCAACAGTCCTCATTACAACACTTTCTGATAAGATATATTCAATTGTATGATCTGAATTACTCACTGTTATATCTCCAAGTCTCAGGAAATGTTTTTTTTTCTTTCCAAAGAAAGGAGGGACATGTCACAGATTTTAATGAATATCTGCAGAAATGAAGACTTTGCTGTGAAATCACTATGCATACATCTTGGACCACCCATTTGTCTCTGGGGTTGGCTTGCCAAATCTAACGAGGCTGCTTTCTAATGCTACCCCAGGGTGTCCCTTCATCTGTACCCTTTACAAAGGAGGACCACTTCTCTGCTCCCTAAAAGAAGTCCAAAATCTTTCAAGGCCATCTGAGAAGAGTACATAGAAGATCTATTCCCACTTCTGCTTGGGTCCCTATTGGGTCTTAATTTGGAGATCCGCCTCCCTCCCCCCGCAGAAAAAAGGACAAAAGACCAGAGCATCCCTACTTTGACCTTCTCTCTCAAGAAAGTTAAAGCTAAAGAGAAGTCCCATGGGGCCCACCTGCCCCATCTCAATCTTTCTCCCACTCTCCCTGTCCATGAACTTCTGCTCAGCAGTCTGGTTTCCATACTGTCTCCTTGTTCTCCATCATTCACATCTGCTCATGCTTGTCCTTTCATCCCATTTTGTAATGACTAAAGTGCTAGACTAAGAGTCAGGAACCCTGACATGGTAAAGTGCCAGCTTGGGACTTATTGTGAGATTTGGGGCCAGTCCCTTAGCCATTAAGGGTTCTGCTATTCTCCTCCATGAGAATGAAAGTAATAACACCTACCTCATACTGCTGGGTTGGGGGGGAGCTGGAGTGAGATATGTGAGACTCTTAGTGGAGTATCCTGTAGATGCTAGACAGTACAAGCCACATTCTTCATCATCCTTCCCCATCCTTCCCAGCCCGTTCTTAGTGACATCTTCCCAGATCACGGTGGCCCATGTTCTCCCTCATTATCACTGTTCTAGGGGTCTTTTCTTATCCATTGAGATTAGGAGGATGTAAATAAATGTTTCAAATGGAAAATACAGAGTAAAGGTGTTTAATCATATGTTATATGCTCTGAGAAGTGGGAATGATAACGGTACCTACTTTAGGAGCTGTTGTTTGGGGATTAAATAAATTAATATGTTATATATAGGAACAGGAATTAATCCATATGTATATGAATTAAATGAATTAGTGTGGACACTTAAAACCATGCTGGGCACCTGGTGAGTCTAAGTGAGGATTAGTGATTTTTCTCACTGTCATCATCATCATCCTTGTACACAGTACCCCAGACTCTGAGACAAAGGAACAGAGTACTCAGAGGCCAGGGCAGGCAGTAATTTTTCTTTTCCTTTTCCATGCATATTTCTTTATACCTTTTAATTTTTAAGCCACTTAGATGTATATCACCTATTAAATATTTTTAAATTTTTAAAAATTGTAAAAAAAAACAGGATAACCAGCATACATGGAGCCCAAGTTAATGACAGGTGGCTGTTGGTCACCTCCAGGCTGGCTCCGTCTGTAGGTTCCAGCTCCCCATCATCATCGCCACATGTGCGATACTGTCCTACTGAGCTACTGACCCAGCACGGCACTGGCCTCACACACCAGATCATTCACCTTCCAAGAATCCAAGCCGGGAACCCCCAGGGAGTAAGTGACAGAGCAAGGATTGTGCCAGGTGCACCCGGCTCCTGCTGCTCTAGTCTGGACCCTCAGCCATGGCTGTCCCCACCCCTCCTGCCCCCACCCCACTCCCACCAGCCAATGTTGGTGTGTCAAGCACCTCAAGCAGCTAGAGAAAAGGTCCTTGTCACCTGGGTGGCTCAGTGGTTGAGCATCTGCCATGGGCTCAGGTCATGATCCCGGGGTCCTGGGATCGAGTCCCACATCAGGCTCCCCACAGGGAACCTGCTTCTCCCTCTGCCATGTCTCTGACTCTCTCTCTCTCTCATCTCTCAAGAATAAATAAATAAGGGATCCCTGGGTGGCTCAGCGGTTTGGCGCCTGCCTTTGGCCCGGGGCGCGATCCTGGAGACCCAGGATCGAATCCCACATCGGGCTCCCGGTGCATGGAGCCTGCTTCTCCCTCTGCCTATGTCTTTGCAACTCTCTCTCTCTCTCTCTCTCTCTCTCTCTGTGACTATCATAAATAAATAAAAATTAAAAAAAAAGAATAAATAAATAAAATCTTTAAAAAAAAAAAAAAAAAGCTCCTGTCATCTCTCTTCACCTTCTCAAGGCCTTTCCCTCCTTCCCCCCTGCTAAATAACAATAATAGCTTTCCTAGCCCTCGGCAAGAATGGGCACTATTTACATATTTGCTGAACTAAACTAAATTAAACTTGTCCAGGCCACAGTCTTCCTCATCACTCCCATCCCTGGGGTGTCTACATAGTGCTAGGTTCAGGAGAAGATCCACGACATGTAAGTCCTGACAGATCTAGAAAGAGCTTTCAGACAACACTTCGGGGAAGGGAGGGGGCAGGAATTTCCTGAGCACCCCCGGAAACTGTCTCCAGACAGTCTGTTCTCCCTCCCCATCCCACACACACCCAGGTACACTCAGATGAAATATGCTCAGTTCAGATAAGGCATTTTGGCCATAAATCTATCCTGGGCGGTGGGGGGAGTTTTATTGAGCAATTACAGAGCTGCTATCGCACAGCAGTTACCAGTACAAGGAGGAAAGGCGCTCAACCTGCCCATCATCCTTATCACCAGCCTCTGGAGATGCCTGTCAGAACTGGAACCAGCAGAGCCAGAGAGCTGCCTTTCAGGTTTGACATCTGTTGTGGCCCTGCTACACGGGGCTGGGCTGACCCTTGGGCCAGGCACAGAGCTTGCATGCAGAGCAAGGACCTAGCAACCTCCTCAAGTGGAGGGGAGTGTGGCGTGGCTTTTGGCAGACCACACCGAAGCAGGGGACTCTTCTTCACCCCCTTGATCCTTAGACAAAAGAGGCCCACCTGGCCCTATGACCCGGGGATCTGGTCCTTCCAGGCAGAGGTCAGGAGCATTTGCCCCTGGAGCTTCCTCAGAGAAGGGGGCTACTCTAAAAGAGCTTCTAAAAGAACTTGGAAAGTGAGCCCGATAACGGAGTAGGAGTCCTCATCGTGGGAACTGACTTGCTCCTATCACCCTAAGGTTTACAAAACGCCTGCCATCCATTATCCGATTAGCCCTTACTACCCAAGCACCTGACCAGTGAGCAGGTTCCCAACCACCCGACAAGGTTATGTGTGATACCCGCATCCTTCACGTGAGTCACAATGAGGTGAAATGAGCTGCCAAGATCACATAATTTGTTAGTGACATCTATTAGCTCAGGCCATCTGAACTTGCCTGTAAAGGTGGGGGACCACAGGCCTTCCCCTCCCTCTGAATTCGGGGGGCAAAGGTAGACCTCACCTTGGCATAGCCCCATGGGAGTGGGAGCCAGTCAGTGTGTGGCAGGACCACACGCAGCCAGCAAAGCCAGAGGTCCCAGTGGGCTCAGGGGAGGGGGACAGCAGCGTCTCCACTACAGTCCTTGTGCATCCTCCACTCCTCTCGGTGCTCCAGGACTGACGGCCAGCTGGTCAGCAGCGGCGAACTCTCCAATGACCACCCAGCGTGGACCTGAGGGAAGAGACCAAGGCCACTCATCCTCCCAGCTCCCCAGTAGCTGCCCACCTCTCCTCCCCACGGAGATAACCTCTCTTCTCATGGCTTCAGGCACCACCTGTCATCTCCAGGCTGTGGCCCTGCATGTCCATCTCCGTCCCAACCCCAGGCTCCAGGACCTTTCTCTAAGGCCAGCAGGACATTCGCATGTAGCTGATTCATCTCACTGCAATCTACACGCCTAAAACCAGAGTCATTCTATTCCCCTTCAGGTCCTAGCCTGTCTCTGCTTTCTCTTGCTCTCATTCTCTCTCCTCGAGCTCAGTACCCGGGATCATCTCCAAACCCTCTCTGCCCCCTTGGCCCAACCAGCAAAGAGCCCATCAATCATTTACCAGTGTTAAATCTCATCTCGTTCTACTAGAGGTTCAGGGTGACCTACAGAGAGAGCACTATTGTTCACCTCATGGGCAAAAGTGGGGAGGCCCAGCATATCTGCCACAGGGAAAGTCTCCCTCTCCCTTACCTCTGGCCCTGACTCTAAATCTGAGCTCTGCAGGCTTAAAGGGGGTCTCTTTTCCTCACCACCCTGCACACAGACCAGTGTCTGGCACAGAGTAGGGGCTCAGAAACTCTCCTTGCACCTGAAACTTGGAACTTAGAGTTCTTGACACCAGCCTGCTTGCTGGTAGTCTCCCAACCATGGAAAAGAAAGCAGAAAACAAACAGAAGGGGCAGGTGTTGTGTTTAGGGACCACATTCACTCTGTCTGGCTTCTTCCCATTTTTAAATCTGTCTGCTGGTTTTCCATTTTTAAACCTGCCTGACTCCATTCATCTATGCAACCCTACTCCCTGACAGGTCCTGAAAAACACACTCTGAAATATGAACACATAGATCTTGGTCCAGAGCAGTGCAGTTCAGGAAGCAGTGCCCAGCCCTTGCTGCCCTGCAGAGTAGGCAACTGGTGTAATTTCAGGGGATGAGAATCATGAGTCCTTGCCTCAAAAATGCATTACCTCTCTTCTCTTCTGTGCCAGAAACTTTATTGACAGGGAACAAAGCCAGCTCAATGTGACCAGGGATGAGGTTACAAAAGCAAATACATCTGAGAGAACTAAATATTGCCTTCAATTCACACTAGCATGTAAATGACTGCTAGCAGACCCTTTCCTGAAAGGTAATTGATGAGGGGAGAGGTGAAGTCTCCTTACAAAGGAAGAGAAAGAGCAACCAGAGTCAAAGCTGTCGAGGTGCTTCTCCCAGTGGAGAAAGCACTAGAACAGAGTCAGAAACAAGAATCCTACTCCCAGCTCTGCCTATTGTTCACCCAGTGACTTTGGAATGTTGCTCTACCTCTTAGAGCCTCGATTTACAAATCTATAAAATGGTATAATTAAACTGGCCAATCTCTAAAGTCCTTTAAGGATTTGGCAAATTGCGATTTCATTATTTCAAGTTTGCCTCCAGCCTATCCCGTTCTGTATCCTTAACATAGCAGCGTACGTATAACAACTGTGTGTCATGAACATGCATGAAGATTTCCCATTGTTCAGATCAAAAAGTCGAACAATGCCTTCCAGGTAGATTTAGAAATGAAGGTCATCATGACCTTGAGAAGGACAACGCGGAACAGGAGACTGAATCTCAACATACTTACAACCCTTTGCAGTAACAGGAGTTGAGGCTCCTTCAGCCGTGAATTCAGACCCTGCCATGGCCCATATGAAATGACAATCTCCTCAAACATGCGGAATGATTTACTATCAACCATCTTCTCTCGGGCCCGTTATCTAATATGATCCTCCCCAGAACCGCATGAAGTGGACAGGGCGAGAATCATCACTCCATTCTATGAATGTAGAAACCCAGCCAGTAAGGGGTCAGCCAGAACTCAGATGACCTATTCCTCCCCTTCTGCTCTGCTCCCCCTCCCACCATCCACCATCCCACTGCTTCCTGCCTTTTCTGTTCTTCACCTCTAGTTCCAGATCCAAAAGTGAGCTCATAAAAGGCCAAGGGAGGTCAACTCTGCAGAGAGACCCAGGCAAGCTCTAAAGGCAGTGGAAGCTCTGGTAGGCCGGCAAGTTTGTCTTCTCTTTGCTCACTCCACTCAGGCCTGGGGAGCCAGAAACCACCCCCACCCCAGCTCCTGCTTTGCGTTGCCTGGCCTGGATCAGTTCATCAGGCCCATGAGCCGGGCTAGCTGGCTGCAGCAAGAGCAGCAAGGTGCTCCACTCGCCCCCTGTCTGCTCTCCCCTGAGCTCGGCCTAGCCAAGGCCAGCTTTACTCGGGCACGATTGCCACGCAGGAGGCTCCTGCCCGTGACTAATCAAGCAAGTGAGACCGAGGTAAGAACAGACCCGACCAGGAAAAAGAATGGGGCGGGGGTGGGGGGGAGAGAAAGAAAAATAAAGAGAGAGAAAAGAGAAAGAAAGAAAGAAAGCCGTTTTAATAATAGGGTAATTGCCGTGTTTAGGATTACAATCTGCCAGCATTTCACTAAACTTTATGACACATGATGACAAGTTAATAAGCCAGATACCTCACTGTGTGCGTTAAACAGATGCTCCAGCCTCCTTAGGCAGGGAGATAACCCCCACAGCACAACCCTCCCCCCCCACACGCAACAACAGCAAGGTGTGGGGGGAGGGGGCCGAGAAGGTGGGGAAACTGGTTATTTCTGTTGTCAAAATGGCCCCAGCAATAAATCACCATTAATAATACTGTCATCTATCAAAGAGGAGCTCTGGTTGCCAAGGCCTTTGAAGTGGCAGCACCTATAATTTCCCACCTATAAAAGGTACCTTTGTGCATATGTCATGCTGGAAGCTGACAGGAGCAAGATGCCGAGGAGTTCAGGGCTCCCCCACGCCCATCCCCGCAGCGAGCCCAGGACGCTCGCCCAGGACGCTCGCTCCTTACTCCTGCTCCGCCGCAGCCTGGGGCCCAGGCCCGTCCCCACTCACCCCGCCACAGGCTTGAACGGCAGACGGGCTGCCAGGCCTCCAGCTGCCAGCAGGACGGGCCTGCGGGGAGCGCAGGCGGGGAGAGCAGCGTCTCACGTCCAGGCAGATCCGGGAGCTTCCAGCCCCGCCAACCTTCGAGCCTCCTCAGACTGGGGAGTCGCGTCCCCCAGCTTCCTCCTGGTAGCAACCCCCAAGACAGAAGCCCTGGGTGGGCCTAAGGGCTAAGGCAGCGCCCCTCAAGGGGGTGGCCCCTGTCCTCAGAGTCACCAGGGAAATGCCCCCCACACACACTTCCCCGGATGTAACTGGATAAGCCTCCACGTGGGGAGTCTGGTCAGGGAATCAGCATCTTTTTTTTTTTGCATTTTTCCATAGCTTTCCTTTTTTTTTTTTTTTTTTGTATATTTTTTTAATTGGAGTTCGATTTGCCAACATATAGCATAACACCCAGGGCTCATCCCGTCAAGTGCCCCCTCAGTGCCCGTCACCCAGTCTTTAACAGGCTTCCCTAGAAGAGATTTTCAAACACACGAAGGGCTGAGGACCACTGGCCCATGGTCCCCTCCCCTCTGCCAGGCCGGAATCTGGGAGCTGCACAAGGGCAGCCAGGGGGGCTACTCCAGGTCTCAGGAGGAAGACCGCGCAACCCGAGTTACTCATAGTGGGCTCTGGCTGCCCGAACCACATACACAGGCAGAGAGGCTTGAACAACTGAAGCGTATTGACTTCCGGAGTCCAGACCTCCAGGATCAAAGGGCCAGCAGGGTTGTTTCTTCTGAGACTCTGAGCTTGGTTTATCGATGGCCGTCTTTTCCCTGTGTCTTCACAGGGTCTTCCCTGGGTGCCTGTCTGTGCCCAAATTTCCTCTTCCTATAAGGACACCAATCAAACTGGGTTAGGGCCCACCCTGGTGACCTCCTTTTAGCTTTAGTATCATTAAAGATACTATCTCCAAATACAGTCTCCTGAGGCACTGGGGGTTAGGACTTGGATGGATAAATTGGAGGGGGGCATAATCTAGCCCATAACAGAGCCCTAAACTTCAGTGTAGGGATGAGCCCCCCCAGATTGGGACAAAGACCCTAAAAGCCACCAATCCACCAGCAACATCTGAAACTGGGATGAATCTTCTGAACTGATTGAACCCAGCTTTCTCATGTCATCCACCTTGTAGGTAATTTTTCCCTAGATTTCAACAGACCTACTGTGTCCATATCTTATACAAGGGGGGAGAATCCAGAGTGAGATCCTTTACAATGTGACTTAGATCAAGACCCCAAGGTGCCTCTAAAGATGAACATTTAGAGGCGCATGGGTGGCTCAGTCAGTTGAGCACCTGACTCTTGATTTTAGCTCAGGTCATGATCTTGGGATTGTGAGATGGAGCCCTGAAGTGGGCTCAGGTCTGAGGGTGGAGCCTGCTTAAGATTCTCTCTCTCTGGGACAGCCCGGGTGGCTCAGTGGTTTAGTGCTGCCTTCAGCCCAGGGCCTGATCCTGGAGACCCAGGATCGAGTCCCATGTCAGGCTCCATGCGTGGAGCCTGCTTCTCCTTCTACCTGTGTCTTTGCCTCTGTGTGTGTGTGTGTGTGTGTGTGTGTGTGTGTGTGTGTGTCTCATGAATAAATAAATAAAATCTTAAAAAAAAAAAGATTCTCTCTCTCCCTCTGCTCCTCCCCACCCTCTCTCTCCCTCTCTAATAAACAAATTAGTTGATTAATTAATTTAATAGAAAAATAAAAGTGGGCATTTTTTGGGAGCACATACTATGAGCTCAGAGCTGCTGTAAAAACTGACATCATTTCATTACTATGACTACCTATGAGGTAAGTACAAATGAGAAACTTTGAGCTAATTTGGCCAAAGTCAACAGTTAGCAAGAGCCCTGCCTGGCCTGGCCCCCAAGTCTTTGTGACTCCAAATCCCATTCTTCACTTCTTTTGCTCTTCTGTATCCTCTTTCCACAAGTAGATCCTGGACTGTTGATGTGCCACTGCCACATTTGAGGACCTGCTGAGCAGCTAGGAGTTAAGTACTGTATTTTAACATTTTATAGGGGATTTAAAGCTACTTTTATCTGCAGGACATTTTTCTGAAATCGTGGCCATATATGTTTATGTGTCTTATATAAGCACAGATGTAGTTTATCGACCCTGAGGCTTATTGCGTGCACTTGTTCTGCGAAGCCGCTCAGGCTTGGGTTCCTAGAGCCTCACCCTCGACCAGGGCCTTCCTTTCTCTGGGCCTCATTTTCCACATGAATAAATGAAAGTCTTAAGCTAAGTTACTTCTATAACCCCTTTCTTCACCAGCACTTTTGAGTCTTGGGCAAGCCCTAAAGAAGAGAGAGAATGGTGATGGTTGGCCCAAGCAGTCCTTCTAATCTTTCCTGAAGAGCTAAAATAATTAGCTCCAAATTCTCCACATGTCCAGAGGCAAATAGAGACGCTTCCAAGCCTCCTGAGTATCAGTACAAGAAACTCCTAGAGGCTGTCATGCCCAGGATGAGAAAGGCTGTCCAGGGAGAGGCACACTTGCTGTTGCTCTAGCCCCTTGCCATTCAGCTATTTCTGAGACCCTACGGCTTCATCTGTCTTCTGCACCAGCCTTGAATTTCTTGAGTCACATGATCTCTGATGTGTGAAAACCCACAAGCACTGGCTTCCAGTGAGCCTTGGTTGTGGCTCTGCGAGCAAGCCCATCATCCTTCTGGGCCTCAGTTTCTTCTTTAAAATGAGAGGTTTGGGTCCAAAAGCTTGTAGGGGGCTTTTGGTTCTGTCTCCCTCCCCCATCCATCTGCTTACAAAGGAACCCATAAGGCATTTCACGCACGCACAGGTGATGGCACACTGTGCTCCCCACAGCACACACACATGCACAGGGCCTCCCTCCGTCCCCCTTCCCCTGCCTCTCTGTCCTCTGCTCTGCCCTTTCTCCTCCACCACAGACCAGCCCTTCTTGGCCTCCAGGAGCCTCTCCCAGGAACTGAACTGCCGGCAGTGGCTCCTGAGAGGACAGCTTCTTGGCAAACCTGGGGGTGGGTGGAGTAAAGCAAATTTTTTCCTTTGAGGCCCAAAGGGCTGTCAACCCTCTTCAGCTGCCCTGGGGCCTGACAGCCACAGAGAGAGATTTATGACCTGGGCAGCTTTGATCCAGGCCTCTGATAAACATCAGGCAGCACCGAGGGGAAGGCAGCCTCCCAAAGAAGGAGAGCCCAGGAGGGGGTGCCCGGGGATAGGTTGGGCCTCAAAGTCCTGTCACAGAGCAGAGCCTCGAGCATGAGCCACCCCACCCCACCCCTATCCCCCCACCCCCCCCAAGGAGAAGGATGTAGCCAGTATGTGATCCGAGGCCTCTACAACCACAAGCAAACTGCTCAGAGATGCAAAGAGCCAGTGTGAGGTTCAACCAGGAAGGGGTGGAGGTGCTGGCTGGGGCCTCAAAATTCCCTCACACTTGCTCACCTGTTCTTCCAAACATGTTACCTGTGTTTCTCCAAACATACAGAGGCCAGGGAGAGAGAAAGAACCAGATAAGATTTGAACTGAGAACAACACGTTTCGCCCAGCAGGCCCTGTGGGTTTTGTTGTTCCTGTTCTTGTCCATGCTGTTGTTCTGAGCAATGACAGGGGTGGCAAATTGCTAGATTGTATTTCAGCCCTGCCTCCTTCCAGGAAGGACACAAGGCCAGGACAACTTCCGCATGGTCTCAGAAACCCTTGGACTTGCCCCCACAGCAGGGCAGAGAATCCACACACCCTCATGGAACATTCCCAGCTTTGCCCATCAAAGCGATGTTCTTGAAACAGAGCTATCTCCAAATCCCTGGAGGAGCCAGATAGTTTCATCTGGACCCTTCTGAGACGGTTTGCCTCAAGCTTACAGTGTCAGCCACCTGCACCAAACTGTTCCCATCCAGACAGCGGCCTCTGCCACGGAGCACTGTAGAGGAGTGCTCACAAAGCAAGCCAACCAGGCCGGGTCTCCACCCTCCGGGCTCCTCCTGTGACACAGGAGACAGGTCTCTAAAGAGACACCCGGAGAGACTTGCTGCTGTTCCTCATGCCCAACAAGCCAGTCCGCAGCCTCGCATGCAGGAATAAATACATATTTGCTGAGCACCAAATTGGGTCTAATGACCCTGGCCTGTCTCACAGGGTCATCTTGAGAAATAGCTGATGTCAGACGATGAGTGTGAGCAGCTGTTCTCCATTTGCACTCAACAAGAGGAACGGGCCTTAAATTACAGCAGGAGGGATTAAGGTTAAACATTAAGAACAGCTTCCTGGCGAGGAGGGTCGTGAAACTCTGTAATGTGTTACCCAGGGACCGCCAGAGACATTCCTTTTTCAATGAGACTTTAAAACAGGAGGCTGGTGATCTGCCCAGGCAGTTTTATTAGGGACTTTATTAGGTCATCTGGCCCATCCTCCTGAAGACAAGGGCCTGGATTAAACACCCACCACTCAAGACCTTTCTGGACACAGGATGACCTCAAGGGCTCTAACAACCCAGAGTGTTGTGGTTCTGAAAATCTCCCCCACACCCCATGAGGTGAAAAGAGGTTCCAGAGGCATCCGTGAGGCCACCTTCTGGGGGTTACTTCCAATGCTGACCTTGTGAGCAGTGATCAAGGTTAACAATGAAGGGGAAATAGGGTGACTTCTGAACCCTCCAGAAACCAAGACATATATTTGGGGCACCAAGAGAAGCCTCCCCCATCCCACCCCCAGGAACAGAGAAGTCAAAAAATCATAACATTTTACTGCCAAAGGGGCAATCCAACCATTTTACAGATGGGGAGACTGGGACCTAGAAATGGGCAGTGCCTTCATGCAGTTACATTGAACCAGAGCTGGGGTTGGAAAACCCTGATTGGGAGCCTGGCTTTGTCACCAACCGGCTTTGTGAGTGCAAACCCTCAGGAGCCTCATCTACAAGATGGGAATGTGTAAATATTAAACATAATACACAGGACACCATCGTCAATTCTAGAACACTCTAGATCTAAGGTTACTGCTCTTACTATCATTATTCCCAATTTGTGATCCTTTCTGATACTCCAGCTGCCTTACCTGTAGACATCTAACTTGTAGGTGACTCTCCTAAGTTTCCAGAGTAATAGAAAAATAAAATGTTTGATCTTTAAGACCAGGGAAGGTATATAATTAGGCTTAGTCATCCTGTTATCCAGGTCTGCTCGTTTTACAGATGAGGAGATGGAGGGTGCCTGCAGACCCTCAGAGAAACACAGGAGAGAACATGCCAGAAGGGGTCAGGTGGGGAAGGGAATGTGAGTGTAAGCTTGTGGACCTTTTGGTGCTTGCAGAGAATGCCTGCTCCCTGGCCATGGGTTTGATTTTCAATTTGGAATCCCAGGTAGCTACTTAGTAGCCTCACTGCGTAGCCCCCAGTTACCTGATCCAGGGGTCAGCACCCAGACGGTCCTGGAAAGCCACTGGCTAACCTGACAAACCAGTGTGGGGGTCCAGCTGGCACCAGGGTGAGCAGGAGGCATCCCAAGGTGGAGCCTTCTCAGCCCTTTCCTCTGTAGCCCTCCTGCCTCTGACCTGTCCCCCCCACTCATTCCCCTTCCCCTCTCAGACCCACTCCAAGATCTATCTCCATCCAAGGCAAGAGCAGCTACCAGACACACAGGACACCTGGTGAGCCCCTCTTATTTGTAAATCTCCATGTGAGCAAATATTATGCGATTTGATCACCCGCAAACCCTCATGCAAGATAGTTATCATCACCCACCTTTTAAGATACGAAACCAAAGGTCAGAGAGGTTAACTGAGTCTGCTGTGATCACACAAGGAGCAAAGGCAGCAAATCCAGGGATTAAGGCCCAGACTCTGGGTTCTGAAGTCAGCCCTCCTTTCCTGAGGCAGCTGTTCCCAGCCCAGACCTGGAGCTTCACATCATGTCCTTCTTTCTGAATGCTTCTGGCATGGCCTCCCTCTTCTGATGCCACAGCCTTCACTTGCTCTGGGACAGAGAGTCCCCTTCTCTGAAACTCCATGCCCCCTCTTGCCCAGGTCCTGGAGTTCCATGATGAATCACCACCATCCCGACATCACTTGCCTGTCCGGACGTTCAGGTTTCCAGAGCCTCACTCTCACTGTAAGCCTCCTGCCTCTCTGGAGGGACTGTCCCCTCCCCTTGTTACCTGGGTGTTACCGTGCCTGCCATCAACGACACCCTTCGGGTTATTCTCTGGGCCTGCACAACAGGACCCCTCTTGAAACCCACCCGCCCCAGAGCGCTTGTCTTGCCTGCTCTGGACTCTGCCAGAAGAGCCCCAGCCATGCCCGGACTAAGCTAGCAGCTGGCCTCCTGGAAACGCCGCAGAGAGAACTGGAGTAGCAGAGCAGTTCGGAGGACAGGACCTGGAGGTGACTAGCTGGGAGTTCTCGGCTAAGTCCCTTCTCTCGGCCTTGGGCTTCTTGTCCACAAAACAGAAACGTGAGTGTCCAGGTCAGAGGCTTACCATGAGAAGCAAAGGTGCAGGTGTTTGTGAGCAGTTAGAGCCTGGCACTCGGTTAGAACAACATGAATGTTAGAATAAATGCCTACAGCCTCCATGTGTAGAATCACAGACCAGGAGGCCAGCCCCAGGCTTGAGGAATCCCAAGGCGGCGAGGAGCCATCTCCCTCCCGATACAAGGGTCCTCACGACTGTGGCACCCAAGGGTGAACATCAACCTTTGGAATAACTGTAAAGACAGGGAGCTCACTACCTTACAGCAGAGCCTCCCAGCGTTGAACAATCTTAACTCGGTGTTTTATTTTGTTTTGTTTTGACCCTGAGCTAACAGCAGCCTGCCTAGGGCTTCCACCCAGTGGCCTGAGCCCTGAGCCTGCTCCCTGCCACATGACAGCCTGGCCCCACATTCCCTTCTCACACACATGCCCCCACCCCCGCTCTGGCACCTTCCACCGTGCACCTTGATTTACGGGCCGTTCCCAGGCTGGCAGGTAATGCAAACCAGCCTGGCGCAGTCCTGCCTGCCTCCCGCACCTTTCGTCTCTGAAGCCCCCAGGTGGCATACCAGCACGCACACCCGTGTTGACAGCTCCGGGGGCAGCTCAGCCAGGCACGGCCTGGCCTGCAGCCAAGTGGATGGTGCCCAGGGACAAAGTAGAGAGTGTGGGTTCTGAGAAAAGCCTCCAAACACGTGACCAAAGACAGGGAAAGGAGAGGTCTTTCCAGAATCTGCCTTAACGTAGGCAGAATAGACAGTTGGGGGCATCTAGGAGGCACCAGAAAATCTCCTGCTTCTTTTTCAAGTCTCACGCTTTGGGGTGCTTCTAGTCCTTTATTCAACGTACCAATTGACAGGAGGGTTCATGCATGAGGTCCATGGTACTTTGGTGCAGATGAAACTGACGTTGCAGGAGGGGACATGACAGGACAGGGTACCCGGGGAGAGAGAATACTTTGGAAAATGAAGGAAAGGTCAAACTCCCTCTACCTCTCAGCCTGCGTAGAATGAAAGGAGGAGATAAATAATATTTATTTTAGGACCTACCATGTGCTGGGTGCTGCCCTTCACCACTGACCTAAATGAATATATATAATCTCTATAACAACACCAGCACTTAGTACCTCACCTTTTACAAATATGGAAATTCAGACTCAGAGTAGTCAAGCAGTGTGCATTAAGTCACACAGCTAATAAGAGGCAGAGCCAGAAACCAAACTCAGATCTGACTCAGCGCTAAGCCCTTTCCACTTCCCTCTTCGGTGTGACCCGAGCACGGAGAGTCTCTGCATCAGGCTGGACAGATTCTCTCAATCCCTCTCTCTCTCTCATTCTCTCTCTCTGTCACACATACACACACACACCACACACTCATACACACATATGCACACCCACATGCACACACATAGGCTCACAGAGCCCAGCCTGAAGCCTGGAAGCCAGGGCTCGGACCAGAATGGGGTTTAGTTCCTAGCTCTGCTTCTCCAGAGCTGGTGACCTCTCTGAGCTTCAGCTTCCCCATCTGTATAATGAGGATAATAGCACCTACCTCATAGGATTTGTGAGATGATAAAATGAGTTACCATTTGAAACACACTTTGAACGGTGACTGAGCATGTGTCACACACGCACGCAAGCAAGCGCAGCAAGGAGCCCAGATAGGCCACGAGAGGTCGAGCTGGGGCTAATCCATGTCTCTGAGTTCCCATCTCAAAATAGGAAGGTTGTTCCAGATGAAGACTTCACGGCTTTTCCAAATCAAATATTCCAGGCCACGGCCCTGAGTGCTTCTCTCTGGGGTAGAGGGGACCGCTGAGCAGGCTGCAAGCAGGTCACTGGGGAGCATGGGGACTTCTCAGCTTTTTGAGAAAGTGGAGCCAATGGTATCCCCCATACAACAAGGCAGTCCAAGTAGGCCACCTCTGCAGAGGAGCGCCTAGCCTCTGCGAGCCCACCGGCTCCTGCAGCAGAGCACTGGCCCCAGGTATGAGCAGGAGAACAGGATGCCCCCATTGAAGCCAGTAAGGAGAACCAGCTGCTCTGGGTCTCACCAGAGGCAGGACACAGGAGGGGCAAAGGGAAGACACTGCAAAGGGGGCGTCAAGCAAGGTCCTGGGTGGGAGCACCTCCCCCTCCAGAGGAAACAGCAGGGCTAGGGGGTGTGCAGAGCTTGGGGGTCATCATGCCCAGGGCCCATCTGAGCTACTGCTCCTTCAGACCTCTCATTCCTCCACTCTGAAATAGGAAATGCAATTTTTTAAGAAAAGATTTTATTTATTTATTTGAGAGAGAAAAAGAGAGAGAAAGAGAACACAAGGTCAGGGGGTGGGCTGGGGGAAGTGGAGGGAGAAGCAGGCTCCCTGCTGAGCAGGGAGCCCATCATGGGGCTCCATCCCAGGACAACTCTTAAATTGGGTTTTATTTTGTTTTGTTTTGTTTTTAGTTTTATTTATTTATTCATGAGAGACGCAGAGAGTCAAAGACACAGGCAGAGGGAGAAGCAGGCTCCCTACGGGGAGCCTGATGAGACTCAATCCCAGGACCCTGGGATCATGCCCTGACCTGAAGGCAGATACTCAACCACTGAGCCACCCAGGTGCCCTTAAATTGGGTTTTTCTATCCCTCAACCATTAGGCTGAAAAGAGAGAGTGAGAGAGCACGAGGGAGGTTCAAAGCGAGAGTGAGGGAGAGGGGAAGAGATGCTGCCAGTATGCAGCAAATGTTGGGTTTTCCCTCAGTTTCAGACATTTGGGGACCCATTGATTTATTTCCAAACATCTGGGTTCTTGAGTTTCAAGCCAGAAAGGGACTGATATGGACCCATAGGTTCAGTCCAGTCCAACTCAGCAAATGCTGGCCAGGCACGTACCATGGACCAGGTCACTAGGGAGAAAAGAAGCTCTAACAAGATGCAGTCCCTACCCTCCAGTAGTGTATAGTCCAGTTAACGAGGCTGAGTGTAAAGAAACAATGCTAATTCAAGGAGATACGATCATTGCAAGATTAGAGGTTCAAACAAAAGGGCCACCAAAGCCCAGGGAAGGGATGTATGGGAAGAAGACGAAGGAGGTGTTTGCTTTCTGGAGATGGGTTTGGTGATATTCATCAAAAGCCTTGCAAATGTCTATAATCTTTGAACTAGTGGTGTTACTTCTGAGGATCTACTTTGAGGGCATAACCAGAGGCCTGTGTGAGATGTCTGCTCTCACCCTAAGGGCCACAGGAAGGAAGCCTTTGGCATATTTCACACAGAGGGGTAGCATGATGGGATCTGTGTTTCTAAAGAGGCTCTTGTTGTTGTGGAGAATGTGTGCCATGAGCAAGTGTCAGCACAAGAGCTTTATGTGTATTCCTTTTATCTAGTTCTGACCACTTCATGAGATGGGGAAGCTGAGACTCAAAGCAGTGAAGTCACTTGCCTAAGGATGCACAGCTCATAAGAGGTGGAGTCAGGCAGTCTGCACACCGAAGAACTCAGTGACTGTGCTAGGACTGAGGGGAGGGGCTCATGTGATGTGGGAGGACCTGTTAGGAGCCACTGCAGGAGCTCAAGTGGGAGATGAAAGTGGCTAAGAGTGGACTGTGGGGGGCAGCCCGGGTGGCTCCGTGGTTTAGTGCTGCTTTCGGCCCAGGCTGTGATCCTGGAGACCCAGGATCAAGTCCCATGTCAGGCTCCCTGCAAGGAGCCTGCTTCTCCCTCTGCCTGTGTCTCTGCACCTCTCTCTCTCTCTCTCTCTCTCTCTCTCTCTCTCTCTCTCTCATGAATAAATAGATAAATTTAAAAAAAAAAAGAGTGGACTTTGGGGCAAGGAGAGAAGCATAATTAGTAGGACTTGGTGATGGGCTGGGGAAGGAGTGGGAGGGGGAGGCAGTGGGGAGGGAAGGGTCAAGAGTAACCCTGAGGCCTCTGGGATGCACTTTTCTGATATGGGGAAGAAAAATGTTAAATACATGGGCAGCTGACCCTTGAACAACATGGGGTTTGTGGCTCTGACCTCCCCTGCAGTCAATAATCTATGCATACAGAGGAGCACCTGCACCCCAATGTTTATAGCAGCAACATCCACAATAGCCAAACTATGGGAAGACCCCAGATGTCCATTAACAGTTGAATGGATGAAGAAGATGTGGCATATATACAACGGAATACTACTCAGCCATCAGAAAGAATGAAATCTTGCCACTTGTACTGACATGGTTGGAACTAGAGGTATTAGGCTAAGCAAAATGAGTCAGTCAGAGAAAGACAATTATTGGATGATTTCACTCATATGTGGTATTTAAGAAACAAAACAGATGAACATTGGGGAAGGGAAAGAAAAATGAGAAAAAAACAGAGAGGGAGACAAACCATAAGAGACTCTTAACTCTAGGAAACAAACTGAGGTTTGCTGGATGGGATAACTGAGTGACGGGCATAAAGGAGGGCACATGATGGAATGAGCTCTGGATGTTATATGCAACAGATGAATGACCAAATTTTACCCCTGAAGCTAACAATACCGTGTACATTAATTAAATTGCATTTAAATTTAAAGAAAAAAATCTGTGCATGACTTTTGACTCTCCCAAAACTTAACTGTGAATAGCCTGCT